CTTACAGGCACTTATTCTACCGAGCCATCTCCCTGGCCCCTCCCTCTGGTTTCCTGAGGGCAGGAAAAAGAAGCCTGGGGAGTGACGGCTCCCACCCTCCACACCTACAGCCCCACACAGGCAGTCCTGATGTGACCAGGAAAGTCCATAAGTCTAAAATGTCTAAGACTGCTGCTGGGGTTGCCCAGCACACTGCTTGATAGTATACATCAATAATAATAATAATAATAAGTAGTAGTAGTAGTAGTAGTAGTAGTAGTAGTAGTAGTAGTAGTTTTTCTGAAGTAAGGTTTGGCTTTGAACTCGCAGGGATCCTCCTGCCTCAGCCTCCTGAGTTCTGGGATTACAGGTGTGCCCCACCACTCCCAGGCCAGCCTCTATAGAATCTTATGAGGCTATCATCATAGACACACATAGAGTTGTACAAAATGTCACATGGCCCTCACTAGAGTCACACACCGTAGAATGTCGTTGCAGCAGTGGAAGAATTTTTGGAAACCCAACATAAGCTGATTGTGGAGGAAAGCTACTTGCCAGAGCAAATCTTCAATGAACAGAAAGGCTCACTGTACTGGAAACGGATGTTTGGAAGGACTTTCATCCATGAGGAGGCCCGGTCTGCACCATGTTTCAGATTTCTAAGGATGGGTCTGCAGTCTTATTTGGGGAGAGATGGTTTTTGTGAAACAGGTCTCACTGTGTCGTCCAGGTTGGCTGGAACTCACATCGATTCTCCTGCCTCTGTCAGATTACAGACATGCACCACCACACCTGGTTCATCTTCCTGTATTACAGAAGGAATATCCTTGTGCCACAGCCATTCTTCTCCCTCCAAAGCCCAGGTCTTTTGTCCAACCACAGGACCAAGAGTTGCCGCAGCTGTCAAGGCCCAAGCCCAGGAAAGGCCTCTGCATGGCCCTTGTTGCAAGTGTGGAAGACGCTGCGAAGGCCCTGGTGCAATTCCAGGGTGACAACAGCCAGACAGCACCAGGAACCAGGGCTGGCTTAGGGCAGCGGCACGCAGGAGGTGTGTGGGCATCTGCGGAAGACTCTCGAGAGTGTCCTTCGGGACTTCGAGAAAGTTTGTCCTGCCTAACGCATCAGGGTAGGGGTTGGGGATGCAGAAACCCCTGGTGTGTACGAGGCTGCCCAGGGAGCTCCTGGCAGCAGTGCCTGGGGACAACCAAGGAGGAGATGCTGGCAAGAACCACCCCCCGCAAAGGCGGCCTGGGGGCCTGGCAGAAGCCTTGCAGACCCAGGCAGCCCCTTCTAAAGCATGAAACATGGAAGCCAGCACAGGAAGTGTCCTCACCTAACTGTGCAGATTGGTGGCAAGGGAAGAATCCAGTGAAGTGGAGCCCTGGTGCTGCTGTGAGAGCAGGGGACAGCAAGGGACAGCTCTGCACATGTCAGCCTGTGAAGACTTTCTCAGGGACAAGGTCTGGGGAAGAGGATGGTGACCTTGGTTATCCTGACCTTGCCTAGGCCTTGACTCTTTTGTTTTTGTGTCTTTGTTTCTATTTTATTTATTTATTTTTGGTTTTTTGAGACACAATCTCACTGTATAGTTCAGGCTGGCCTTGAACTCTATGGAGCAGGTGGGCCTCCAGGGCACAGTGGTCCTCCTGCCTCAGCCTCCCGAGTGCTGGGAGGACAGGTGTGCGCCACCACACCCAGCTTCACCTACATGATATGCGTGGCTGTAGATGACAGCGAGATGGGTAGGACAGCAGATAGATGTACGTGGGTTTGCGAAACTGGCTCCTGACCACGGAGCTAGCAAAAGTACAGTCTGCAGAGCTGGCTGGCAGCTGGAAGCCCTACACAAGTCATTACTGCCATCGGATCTTTTTCTGAGGCCTTGTCTGATGGAACTGGGCTGACCCAAACCCGGGCACAGCCAGCCTGCTGGTCAGCTGACTAAAGTGCTATCTCATCATTAAAAAAGCTTTCGTGCAGACATTCAGCACCACCTAGGAGTGAGGGTCTGGTACTGTGACCAGGCCAAGTGGGTGTACACAATGACCATCCTAGCTCCTGCTGATTTAGTGACATCAAGGGTAGCAGAGTCCCCTTCCCTGCTGCGTGGTGGGGGCCCTGTGTGGCCTGCTCCTGTGACTGCACTCGGCCAGGAGGTTTCAGACCCAGCATCTTCAAGGCTGTGGTGCCTGCCAGGTCAGCACAGTTATCTGTCCTCTGTCTGTCCCTCCAGAGGTGGCCAAGTGCCCAGGAAGGACCAAGGGTTGCCAGACCACCCTGGGGCTGCTCACTGACCTGATGGCCCAGACAGTTCCCAAGTCTTGATCTGGTGCCCAGGAGTGGCCGGGGTAGGCAGTGCTGTGGGCAGCTGCCCCAGCCTGGCCTGAACCCGGTGAGTCCTGGTCTCACACCTCCCCTCAGCCACCTTCCCAACCGCTGCCAACATGTGGGGCTGAGCTCAGCACCCCGAGGAGATCTTCCCCAGAGGGGTGGCACCCATTCTGTACCCTCGCCAACAGTATCTCCGCAGCTCCTGGAGACCCCCAGCCAGGTGTCAGGCAGCCGCCTCACCCACACCACGAGCCAGGTGTGGGATGAACATTCTCGCTCCAGGTGGGGATGGGGCAATCATCATTCAGAGCCACCGAAGACAGGGGTCTAGTGATCATGGTCTTAAAGGTCCAAGAGAACGCAGTGTGGTGGCACATGTCTGCAATCCCAGCCCTTGGGAGGCTGAGGCAGGAGGATTGCCCCAGGTGAGACTCTTGTCTTAAAAACAAAACAAAACAGAAAGTCTAAAAGTAGACAGTTTTAAGATAAGTTGTTCTATGCTTATGCTACAAAATTCAGAACACTAAACATTACAAGAAAATGAATTATCATTAACATTTGCCTGGCTGCTGTGGGTAAGACATGTTATGGTTATCCGTGGACCCAGGTCATGGCCCCAGAAGGAATCATCACCCATAATGGTGACACCAGTCACAAAGCAACCAGCAGGTCGGAGACAGTGAGGGAAACAGCCCAGGGGTGTGTGTGTGTGTGTGTGTGTGTGTGTGTGTGTGTGTGAATTCTGTCTCAGAACTGACATGTTCTGTGCAGTAGTGGCACTGCTGCCTGCAGCTCTGTGGGAGATACGAGACCAGCCAAGGGGCTGCGTGTGAGGTGGAAAACACAGGAGGAGGCAAGTCCTGGACTTGGATGAAAGGAAAAGGCAGGCGAGACACCCTCAGCCCCTTCACCCGCACAGACCTGAGCATCTGTGATCACCTCCCGGACCGGTGTTCTGCATTTCTGCTAATAAATCACGATGCCTCATATGGGTCCGTGAACTTCACAACATGTGTTTTAATCCACTTGCTTAGATAACCAGGCCACCCCCAAAATAGCCTCCCCCACACCCACCTGTGTCAGACCACATGGAAGGAATTGAGGTGTGAGGGACCCTGAAACCAAGGGAGTGCAGGTATGTCCCATGTACGGCACATGTCACATGTCCTGTGTGCTGTGCGTGTCAGGCTTTCTCAACCCGAAAGGCAAGGCTGGTGGGAATGAAGGTGTGAGGCCAGTGGGGTGCTGTGTGGGAAGAAGTCACCTGTGAGTGGACAGGTCTCAGATGTGGGTCTTGGATGGGCCTTAAGTGCCTAGAGGTGAACAGATCAATGAACAAAGGGGCCAAGGTATGCAGAAGCATCCCTGGTGGGCCCTGGTAACCTTGACCAGAGAACAAGGAGCAGGCAGTGGCCCACAAGGAAAAAGAAGGCACAGGTGCTGCAAGTGGGGAAGCCAGCTGAGGTTGGGGCAGAGGGCTGGCAAGGGGAATGGGGCTGGCCCTGGGGACCCTGGGGCTGCACACTGGGCCAGGCAGCACCAGTGTCCTCAAGACCAGTCCAACTGAAGAAGGAAGAACATGGAGACCAGCTCTTGTCACTGTGCAAACCGGCACCTGGGCCAGCCTGGACCTGCCCACTCTCAGACCTACCTGCTGCACGTCCCTCTGCAGGTGGAGGCTCTGTGGGCTCCCAACCCAGAACAGCTGTAAGTGCAGCCCAGCGCCATGGCCTCAGGCAAAGGAGGAGCCAGGGGAAACTCCACCCATCTCCTGACCCCAGGGAGAGTGGTTTGTTATGGTGTCCTGGGGCTCAGATCTGAATGTAGGAGTGAGGGGTGGGGGGTCACCCTGTGTCAGTAGCTCACCATGAGCCCCTGACCCCAGGACTGAGGGCGTCCAGCTTTGGAGCTCAAAGGACAGCAGCCACTGTGGGCCCCCAGAAATCTGAATTGAACACTGACTGGCCACCCAGGCTGTGCTGTGATGCAGGACTTGGGAAGCAGTGTCACTCTTCAGCTAGATGGCCAGCTCCAGTCCCTTCCCCCAGGGCCAGTGGGGTGCAACCTGCCTCCAGTGGTGCAGCAGCCAGTCCTGTCCTGAGCCCTTGGGCTCCTGGGTGTCTTAAGCTAAGCTCAGAGAAGGACCAGCATGGCCCATGGAAACGCTTGCCCCTAGGAGACCAGTGTCATGGAGTCACAGAGCTGTCCCAGGGCTCTTGGCCTCCTGCTAGGGGTGGGGCAGCTAGGCTGCAGGTGTCTGGAAGCCTGTGGGTCCCTGTGGGGGAAGGGTGGGGTTTGGTTCTGGCCACTGATGCTGGGTATGTGGCTGGGGAGGGGGGAGTGCAATGGCCCGAAGGTAGACCGGAGGCTCTGGGTGTGACCAGGACGCCCATCCCACGTGGGCCTGCTTGAGCGAGTCCCTACCCAGGCCAGGCCACTTTGCTCTATTGTGTCCCCTGGCCATGAGGGAGGCGTGCTCCCTGCAGGCAGGACTCTGGCTCCTGCAGGGTGCTGTTGGAGGCTGGAACCCATCCCTGGGAAACCACGGTGGGAAAGTCTCAGGGTGAGCCAGCACCCTGCTCCCAGCGGGCGGGAAGATGGACGCTGGGCCCCTTCTCTCCTCGGCTTCTCTAATGAGGAAGTCCTCTGCCGCGCAGTTTCCTTTCCCTCACTGAGCGCTTGAAACAGGAAGTCAGGCAGTCGGCGAAGCCGGTGGTAGCGGCAGAGGTGACTGGAGGGGACAGACGCGGGTCTCAGGCGCAGGAGCCCCTCTCCCACCATGGTCTCCGGCTGGAACCACGGCAACATCACCCGCGCCAAGGCAGAGGAGCTGCTGTCCAGGGCCGGCAAGGATGGGAGCTTCCTGGTGCGCGCCAGCGAGTCTATCTCCCGGGCTTACGCGCTCTGCGTGCTGTGAGTACCGCAGCCTCCACCGGGCCTGCGTGCCGACCCTGCGCCACAGGGCCCATGTCAGGGGCTGGGGGCAGCCAGGGGCGGGGCTGGGGGCAGCCAGGGGCTGGGCTGAGTTCCACGTCTTGCACGTCGCCGCCACGTTTGCTGGGGAGTCCAGCAAAGGCCCTGGGACTGAGCCTTCTCAGGGCCTGGTTAGGAGGCATGGGGTGAGGGCTGCCCTGGCATTGCGTAGCTCCCCAGAGGTGGGCATGTTAGCTGGCAGCTTGCTCAGGCCTTGGGCAGAGGGGCCCAGCTTGGAAACCTGGAGAATAGCTGCACGCAGAGGAGCCCTTCCTGAACCTAGGGGCCTGGAGAAAGCCGCTCTTTGGGGAGCTAAGAGTCTGGGGCAGGTTTCAGTTCATCCAGACGTTGCTCTCTGAGTCCCAGGAGCCCAGCGAGCTGCTCCTCTCACACGGGCCTGTCCCCTCCCAGCTGTGTCCCTACCGTTGGGTTTCTGCCCCAAGGGACTCCCCCACCCTGTCCGGCCTGAGGTCGTTGCTGAATGTGCTGGTAGTCCCGGCAACAGGGAAGCAGCTGCCTGTGGAAGGTTCCTTTTTAGCACCCTCTTCTTGTCCCACTTGGGAGGGAGGCCAGGCCCTGCAGCCTGTGGTCTAACCACGTCCCGCTGGGTGCCACTGGCGCAGTCAGGAAGGGTGTGTCCACCCAGATGTCTCAGGTGGTGTTCTTGGGCAGGCAGGCAGGTCCCCCTGGACAACAAGGGGCACTGCCCATCTCCAGGAAGGAGGGATGATGGAGGTTAGCCCCATTGTCCTGAACCCTGACTCACCAGGGACCTGCTGGCTAAGCATTATCCAGCTTTACCTTCCTCAACACAGCCCGAGGGGCCTGTGATCTCCTCTGCCAAGCAGATGAAGTGTGTGTGTGTGTGTGTGTGTGTGTGTGTGTGCACGCACATACACGTGTGTGCATGTGTGATGGGGTCGGAGCCCAGGTCACCTGTCCGCAGTGGTGGGCTGTGCTGCCTGCCTCCTGCTTCTGCCCGAGTTAGAGACACCCTGGCTGGCTGACCACTAGTGCCAGAATCCCCCTCCCCGGAGCCTCAGATGCAGGGAGGAGGCTGCCTTCCAAAGGCCAGCAGACTCACGCCTCACCTCCTTACTTGGCCTGTTGAGGCTCTGACCTTGCAGAGAGCAGGTGGAACAGCCCTTAGGGGTTGGAGCTTTTGTCCATACTGCTGTCCTGGCTGGTGGCAAAGCTGCACCAAGGCCTGCACGTCCTGCACACTTGTCCTCTCCTGCCCACTTGTCCCCTCCTGGCCCTGGGTACTCTGGGTTCTGAGTGATGACACTACCCTGTTGGACCAAGTCTGGAGTCTCAGGGTCTCTCGGCTCCATTCTACTCTGCTCCTGGGGGAAGCCACCATTCCTGGACGGTGGTGGTGGGGTGTCCATTGCAGAATGTGGGATACCTTAGACCAGCAGACTGTCCTGAGCCCTGGGAGACATCCCATAGCAATCGCTATTGATTTTGCCTGTGAAAGAGATAAAAACTCAACCCTAAGCCAGGCATAGTGGCGCACCCCTGTGATTCCAGAACTCAGAAGGCTGAGGCAGGAGGATCCCTATGAAATCAAGGCCAACCTAGGCTACCTCATGACATCTTGTACCCTGAACTACATAACAAGACCCCCACTCAAAAAGCAAGGAAACAATCCCCAAAAAAAACCCAGAGCAAGGTAGCTACAAAGATCTCCTCTGCTCCAGCAATGTCCATGGGGGAGGACCCCATGCCTCACCTACAGGACTGGGACCTCATCCTCCCTGGTCCAGGGTGGTAAGGGGACAGCAACGGGGCCTCCTTCTGCTGGCTTAGGTGTTCAGAGCTCTGGTGAGAGCCTGGCCGCACAGCTTGGGCCCCGTGCATGAGAAGAGCCGCAGTGTGGCTATTCCACGGAATGGGGTGGGGTGCAGAAAGACAAGGCTGCCATTCAGCGTGCACACAACGGGCATGCACTTTGTCCCCATGCCCTTCGTTTCCTCGAGAGCGGTCAGCACCATCACCTACACGGGGCAGGAAAGCTTTGATCTCTCCTCAGCTGCACGGAAACTGTGTACTGGGCATGCCTGGAACTATGGGCCTGGAGGACCCTATAGAGGATCTGGCCTGAGTCCAGCTCTGCCTTCTGTGGACAGGGCTCAAGGGTATGACAGGTACCAGGCTCTGTGCCATCTCACTGGTCCCCCTCGGGTCCCCTTGAGTGCCAGCCAGCCATGAGTAAAGAATGTCATGAGACTGTAAAGTTTGTGCCCTCTTCCTGTGCTGCATGGGGACCACACAGCTGCCAGGCTCCTTGTGCCACAGAGCAGAGAATGCCTTTAGGGCCAGGTCGGTCATCGGAGGGTCTACATGGGGCAGCCTCCATGCCGCACTGCAGGGCTAGAATGCTGGCCTAGCACCGTTGGGGTGTGGCCAGCCCTCTGTGCAAGACCAAGGGTGTGTCCCACTAGTCTGTAGCCCACCCATCCCGAGAGCCCCAGCTCCTTTGTGAGGGCGAGGTGTGTCACTTGTTGCCTTGCTCCAAACCAATGCCTGGCCTGGGCTACCATGACAAGAAGATGTCTAGTTCCTCAGCATGTGGCCTCCACAGACATCCCAGGCCCAGCGACAGGAGTCAGGATCTATCCAGGGACAGTGGCAGAGAACCCCGGTCTTAGTGGCCTTGGCACACAGCAGGAAAGGGGAAAAAGTTTAAGAGGGCTGGGTGTGCAGGTGACACCTGTAGTCCCAACACTGGGGAGGCTGAGGCAGGGGCATCACTGTGAGTTCCAGGCTTCCCCAGGCTACACAAGACACTGTCTCAAAAAAAAAAAAAAGTGTAGAGGGCCACTGCTGACTGAAATTCCCCTCTGAGGAAGCGGTCTACTCTTCTGGAAGAAAGAGTGTAAGAAGAGCAGGCCCCAGATCTGCCCAGTCAGCAGAAAGGTGGTTACGCTCGGGTGACAGCAGCAGCAGCAGCAGCAGCAGACTGAGACTGAGCTGACCACGTGTCGCCCAGGGTCTGCCCACGCTTTAACCCGTGCCACATCCCCGGAGCCCTGCAGAGGAAGCCCTGTGATCCCCACCACACCCACAGGGAACATGAGGCACAGAGAGGTTAGGGAACAGGCTGTGTGCAGGTGTCCGTGAGCGGCTGCGCCAGCACTTACACTGTGTGGTTGTTGTTGATGCTGTACTGAGAAGTGAGGACAGCTTTCACATGAGCTGCATCCTTGGCCCTTTTATTATTATTTTTAAAGAATACAAAATAGAGGGCTGGGGAGAGAGCTCAGTAGAATAAGCACTTGCCTGGCAAGCGCAAGGGCCTGAGTTCAATCCCTGGTACTGAAAAAAAAAATAAAGATATAAAGAAAAAAACAGCATTAGAAATGATACAAGATTTCATTAAACAAAGTAATAGGAATTCAACAACAGTTGCCATATTACATGATGCTATCTTCAAATTAGTTGTTCTCATCACCAGATATAAAATGTAAGATTCGTTTTTTAAAAACACACACAGTAACAAAGAAGTTACAAGAAATTCAAAAGCGGAAAATAAAGTCAGGGTTAAAAAAAATTTTAGCATTAACTGCTCCTGTCAAAAGACCAGCAGAAATTGACAACACAATTATGCAAACTATTCTACATATATATCCAAATGTATTTTTTCCTTTCTTGCATTTGCCCTTTTCCTCATACCAGTTTTCCTTCCCACTGAATAGTTTGTTCCTTTTCACAGTATGTGTTGTACCTTGTAGATTTGCACTACTCTTTCAAGTTCTCACACTCGTGAGATAATACGATGTTTGCACACGTGGATCTCATTTATTTCACTACCAATATAGTCTCTAGCTGCATCCGTTTATCTACAAAAGCCTTGAATTTATCTTTTTTATAGCTGAATAATACTGCATTGTGTAAAAATCCCACATCTTTTTTATCCATTCCTCAGTTGATGGGCATTTGGGTTGTTTCTAAGATTTAGCTATGACAAATTACGCTGCTATAAACATGAGTGCACATATATTGCTGTGGCCTTGGCCCTTTTAAAAATTTATTTTGAGACAGGATCTTGCTAAGTTACCCAGGCTGAGCTTGAGCTAACCATCCTGTCACAACCTCTCAGAGTAGCTGGGATTATGGGCGTGTGCTGTCCACACTGGGCTTTGAATTCGGTTCTTGAGAGAAGCCTGTAGGGCAGAGGCCTAGAAAAGGACCCCCTAGTGGGACAGCCCCAGGAAAGATACTTGGGGGGAGTCACAAAGGTCCAGCAGAAATGGTGCACTACTGCAGCCCCCTTCCAGAGCTCCAGGCCAGGTTTCCAGCTCTCAGTAATTGCCTGATGCAAATGCAGTCAGTGGCTATTCCCACATCAGGCATTGTCTGTTATGTAAACAACAGGCCAGTGTGGTCTGCCCAGGGGCACTTCTGAGCTTGCTTTCTGTAGCGCAGAAGGGAATCTAGAAGTGGCAAGCAAGTCTCTGCAGGCTTTCTGTGGCCTTGCCCAGCACCCAGGGCCAGGCTGCTTGCTACAGAACTGGCACTGGCCTAGGGTGTTTTGCCTGTTTGCCTACTGGACAAGTCAAACCACCTGTGTGTGGACATTACCCAGCCTGGATCAAAGGGCCCATCTCCTGGGACATGGAGCCCAGCCACATGGGGAGTTGGGCTCCCAGACAGCCCTCCTTGCCCTAGCCAGAGACCCAGAGCAGCTCCTCTCTTCCCTCCACAGCCCCCATTGACCTTAGGGATGAGGCTTTGGGTTGGTGACCTGGGGCACTGGTGTTGGTGATGCTGACTTCCCAACCAAGTGTCCCTGCTGGTAAAGCCAGGATGATGGTGCCCATGCACTGGATTATTTTTGAATCTGATGAATAATTCACACATAGCAGTGCCCTTCATGTACTAGTGTACAATTCAGTAGGTATTTTTAGTATAATCACAGGTTGTACAATCAATAA